ACAGGTCCACGTTGTGAAGTGAATTTCCGAAATAAGGGCTATGTCAATGTTTTCACTGTATAAAAGGTCTTTTAGTTCTTGTCTGCGCTGTACTAACCCGTTGGCGTTCCATGCTATGATCCGCAGTATGTGGTTCATTTCTTTATTTTCTGCGAGGTATTTTTGGACTTTGTCTGGTTTATTTCCAATTTGTCCATTCTTGCTGTGATTTTTGTTAATGTCAGCGTTACGTTGGTTAACGCGACTAGAATATNTTTCCGAAATAAGGGCTATGTCAATGTTTTCAATATATAAAAGGTCTTCAAGTTCTTGTCTGCGCTGTACTAACCCGTTGGCGTTCCATGCTATGATCCGCAGTGTGTGGTTCATTTCTTAATTTTCTGCGAGGTATTTTTGGACTTATTACGTCTGGTTTATTTCCAATTTGTCCATTCTTGCTGTGATTTTTGTTAGTGTCAGCGTTAGTTGGTTAACACGACTAGAATATCATTAAGAGTAGTGGATTCATCGTTTTTCTTTGGTTGAGGTGTTTTTGGATGGACTTTTGAAGTACTAGCCATCTGCGCGTATGAAACGTTTGTTGTGACAGGTTTCTGCTGTATTCCGGGGAAGAAGCATTGTGGCGTATAGTCCGCCACACTAGTTACACAACGATCATTGATAAAAACATAGAATTTAGTTTCCGAAGTATCTTCGATAATTCGTTGATATGAAAAGACAACTAACATTCATAATGAACTAAGATATCTTAGGGTTGGTGATAATTATTATTTATTTACTGTCACCGCATCAGTTCATTTTACACTTAGATAATTTGTTAATGATAGAGCTACTGACTAAATATTTGAAGCAAACATAACTAAGGGGAGTTGGAAAAAATACGCATGCACTAAATATATANTTGATCGAATTCATGTAATCACATATGATGTGTCTATCATTACTGTCTGGTGGTATTACAATGATAATACGATAAATATGCGACGAGTACTGATACGTATGCGCAATAGATATCAGTCTCCTTAGCACTTGTTAATAATTATTTATTCAATTCGTAGTATGCGCATTTATCATGTAGTATCTCTATCGATACTATATGATCCACGATTTAAAAAGGACAGGTTGTGCAACAAAACCTATAGATTTTGAGGCGCAAAGTTTTCATACGAGTATTCTTGTAAGAATTAATATGACTATCGCTCTGGTGCTCTAATGGTCAATAATCGAAATATTTTTTTTTTTCAAACCACAGCACATATCATTCATCATTATTGATATAACGATATAGGTATTTTCGTTTTGATAGTAAAAACAATTATTATTTATTACAACATTTCCTTATATTCTCATTATTCTTACTAATATATTTTTTCTATTTTATAAAAATATTTATTGACCCAATACTAGGTCACGACTTATAGGTTGGGAAACACAGATATATATTCTTGTATGAAGTATGGAATGGTTGATTTGGGTTTTTACTAATAACTGTTATTGAAAATCTATTTTTCAGATCTAAATTTTATCCAGAAAAGATATCAGTATCTTAGTGCCCGTACGTAAATTAATATTAAATTTTTTATAACTATACATATAATATACGCAATTTCTTTAATGTGTAATTTTTAAGGCTTTTACCATCAACAATGTCAGTAGTGTTCTAAAAATATAAGTTTCAAATTACTTATCTAGATAAAGAAAAGAAATAATTATAGCCTAGGCTTAACTATGATTTACGCTTAATTTAAGAGAGTATCACGCTCTCCTAATACAAATCTATCTAGAAAAATGATTTGAAAAAATGCAAAACAATTAAATAATTTCAATAACCGTCATCTTATTTAGATTTAAAATTTTTTTTATCATAAGATGGATTTATAAAACTTCAAATAGAGATTTCAAAATACTTGTGGGACCATATTATTAATTTATATTAAAACATTTTATTTTTACAAATAAATTATTACATTTTTATCTAGTTTCATCATAAATATATAAATTATAATTTAAAAATAATTATTTAGATGGTTTAAATATTTTTCTTAAAATATAAGTTATTTCCCATATCTGAGTAATATCAAGGATAAATAACAAAATATCAGACTCATATATTTTACCTAAGTGCCCACTGCCATCCATACAAGACAAATTTTAGATTTAGAGTGAAACAAAAAAGTTTTTTTTCTTAATATTTGTGCAACATTTTTACCGGAAGACTTGCTCCGATTTCTATAAGAATCATCTTTTCTGAAAGGTAATCGGTGTGGGGAGGTACTTGGAAGTCATGAAGAACATTTTTCGATTTTTTCAAAAGTTTTTTCATCAAATAAGAAAAAACAAAAAAAAAAAAATAGGAAAATTTAGGAAATATAATAAATATATTTGTGTGATTTTTTTTTTCTGCGAATAATTTTTCTACCAGCAATTTTGCTCCAATCTTTAATGATGGGAATGTTCTTAAAAGGAAATTTCACTAGGGAAGTACTTTAGAGAAGTCATTTTTTGTAATTTTGATATTATTGTGCATCGTTCAAAGACTATCCCACTCTGTGTAAGTGTATAAATGAATAAATGAATAAATGTGTAAATTAATGTTTCCTATATTACGCGATTGTTTGCTATGACTTGAAGAAAAATATAAATTATATTCTATTACGGGAGTAAAGTAACTTTCACTTACCTCGTTGATCTGCAAAACAGCTAGAAGTTCACCAGATCATTGGTTGTAATACGGTAGGTAAGAAAAAAGTGACTTGAATATGGATTGTTACTCGGGTGTGCAAAATACAATATGNTACCTAAGTACCCACTGCCATCCATACAAGACAAATTTTAGATTTAGAGTGGAACAAAAAAGTTTTTTTTTTAATATGACTTGAATAAAAATATAAATTCTATTCTATTACGGGTGTAAAGTAACTTTCCCTTACCTCGTTGATCTGCAAAACAGCTAGAAGTTCACCAACAGATCATTGGTTGTAATACGGTAAGTAAGAAAAAAGTGACTTGAATATGGATTGTTACTCGGGTGTGCAAAATACAATATGGATAGATGTAGGTATCGATAAATCGCCGTTATGTGTACACACATACAAATTACCCAAAGTAAACGTGAGTGTTCTATATACGACACATAGAACACATGGATGTTGTTTTCGTTCACCTCTTTTCTAGGCGTATAGACAAACTGTTGTAATCAAAGGCAAGTTGGTCGAAGGTTAACGCATAAAGTGTCTGTTAGCGTTCCCCCCGTAAAAATACACATATATTATTAGAAGTTGTGTATAGCCTTTCGGCGGATTACTATAAAAAGTCAGCACGTTTAAATGTTTAACAAAACAGAGTAACATACACAACAGATAGGTATATAGGAGTTATGGATTATTAAATACAGTGATTCGGCTTCGGTTCTGCAACCTCTATACAGATATGAATAGGTATACCAAATATAGCAACCAAACTTAGGTTCTACAACCACTATATTTGGGGGATAAAATTTGAAAGGATTGTAAAGGTGTGAGAAAGGGACTTAGATAAGGATAAGGATGAAGAAAAAAGATGCATACGGCGTCTTATATAGGAATTCTGGGTCCCCCACTCTATTACTGCCGCTGATCAGATCGCAACGTATCAGGGAGGTGTTATGAATAATAATCATGCAGGAGTTTAGTACACTCTATTGGTCAGTGAGAGTACTTGTTAATTGTTTTGGGGATTAATAGTTGTCACCTATATTGTATTACGGATTTTGGAAAGTTTGCTTGACTATTTTAATACTGCTTCGGCACCACTGTATATGAATATTAATCTACTTCAAATTTATTTGTTCTTGTTTGTTGATTA